AAATCACAGCACCTTTTATAGTGCCAACTCTCGACTATTATTGTCACATTTGGCCATAAAATTAAACACGAAAATTGGCATCCAATAGCAGTATTAATTTTGTGTTACTCTGACTCATCAAAGATTAGCGGAATCGAATGGTGGTAGGGACTGTGGGGAGGAAACTGGGGGACGTGGCAGGCGTCCTGGGTTTAGATCAGAACCGCATTTGAAACCTGAGTCCCGGCTCTTCCTGGAACAGCCGTAGATGATTTCCTGAACTTCCCCGCCCGCCGTCTCTTCATCTGTGATGGGGATTAACTGTCATGATGTTCTGTCGCAGTCATGACGGCAGCCGCCCTTCACAGAGCGCTCTGTGCTCTGGGCGCCGCTGCCATCTCGTACCCACCATCTCGTGTCGTCTGCACACAGTCTTACGGGTGGGGTTTCGTGGCCCCAACTGTAGGGGGAGGAACTGGCTCCATGCTCAGCGCCCCGTGAGGGACGTTAAGGCCGTGAGGTGGCCCCTGTCTTCCGGGAGGAAATGCGCCGTGAGGGCTCGTGTGGGTGGCCGGGCCTCGTGACCCTGAGCGCAGCTTTCTAAGAGCTGAGGCTGCGGGGGGCCTGGGCCTCGCCTTCTTCTGCGGTTCAAGTCTGGTCCCTGCAGCTGACCTGGAGGCCCCTGTCACAGCGCCACGCCCATCTGCACACTTGTCACAGTTGTCCACCGTGACCAGGGACCCAGCGGCATTCTTCTCATTTACAAAAGGAGCCGGACTGTGAAGTGAAGGAGCAGGGGGGCATCACACAGGAGACTGGGGGGCCCTCGTCCGGGGGGCCCTGGGTCACGGGTGGCTCTTCCACTCTCGGCCCATTCACTGGGCCGCTGGCCGCATCCTGGCCTTTCGTGCAGATGTCCTCCCGTCTCTGAGAAAGCCCCGGACAGGGAGCCCGGAACCAGACTCTCGCCCCAGGTCAGCCACTGCTGGTAGATCATACTCGAGTGCCCTTCCTTGGTTGAAAATAAGTATTTAGAAACGAACAAGAACAGCAGAGCCGTGCTGGCAAAGGC